AAATTTATTTCTATTTTTACCGCCCGGCGGGGGCGGCACATTGTTGATTCTAATAATTTCTACTATTTTCACAAGTTTGTAAATGCTTTTAACCATTTTTATTTCCAGCAAATATACACACACGCGCGTACCAAACAAATGAAAATTTCCAAATTAAAATGACAGTTAACGGAAGCTGTCCTCAGCTGCAATTGTGTTTACTCGGACGGATATCACTGCGGTAACTGAACAGCTGTTCACTTACCGCCGACCGCTTTACCGTCGTCCGCTGTAATTCTGGGTAGAGCTTTAATTCAATAGTTCGAATAAAGTGTTTTATGAAGGCTAATAGTTCTTGCTGCAAAACGTTTCCAATATCAAACTGTATGTATCAAGGTTGAAAAGCTAAATATATGACTACAACAGAAATTTAAATCATCCACGCACTATAGGTGATTTTGAAGAAATTGTGGAATTAGCTGATCTCGCCTTGTTATAGGTTTTTATGTAATTTTTAGCGCCGAGCTCTTAAAAGCGGATTGTGCGATTAATCAATTAATATGAGTTATAATAAATTTAATAATTGCGGAGTCCTATTGCAAAATGCGTAGAAACAAAATTTTTTTAAAAGTATGCGTATTTAATCAATTAATATGAGTTATAATAAATTCAATAATTGCGCAGTCCTATTGCAAAATGCGTTGAAACAAAAATGTTTAAAAAGTATGCGTATTTTTAAAGAAAATTGTTTGTACATCACTATTATATTAGTGATTTGTGTTATTTATTACTACCCTCTGAAGGTATTATATTCGTTTTTGGTTTTAGAAACTATATTATAAAAAGATCTAATTTTTAAAATAAAAATTTGTTAAATCAATTTCACGAATTTTATAAAAAAAATTGCGATTTTTGGCGATTTTTATTTCAGAAATTGCGCCTTGTTTAAACAATCTGAACACCCTGCTGGGCGTTGGACTTTCCGTCTCATTCCGAGCATTGAAGTTTGGCTATACAGATTACACGGCTGCTTTCGATAATACCTGCACTATTATGGTCACGATGATTCGATGGCATGTAATACATGTGAAAAGGTGCTGGAAACTGTTGAACATGTACTTTTCGATTGGCCATCGTTTTCACTTGAAATATAGAGATAAAGAAGAACGTTGCTTAAAAACTACTGTTATACTTGTTTCTGTATTAATGGCGATCAATCTGAACGATCCATAAGCAGTTATGTATATTTCCCGCTCTGATTTTTGAGTTAGCTCACTTTAGACCTAGGTTTGCGATATGTTAAACGATAAAAAAGTCTCGGGCGCATTGAAGAATATAAGTAGAGAAATAATGACAAAACTAAAGATCAGAGAGCAACTCCTCACAATTGGACTACAGCGGCCAAAAGTATTAAAAATGGATTAGCGAATTCTGAAAAAGTAATTACGCAGATGCATAGAAAAATATCCTGATAACCCAAACCAAAAAGAATTTTTGATAAAAATACATATTTGCAATCATGACACCAGCTTAAAGTGGAAACAATGCGAAAAAATAGATTTGTAAGAAAAAAATTGATTTTGTCGCAAGTAATTTTAATTAATTTTTCCACTTGTGCGGATATATAAAACGCCAATTTGATTGATGAGCAGTTTTTGAATATATCTGAGGGCATGCATTGCTTTAAATTTTTAAAATGTATACGTAAAACAGTTTGCCTTGAAATTCTCCATAATTTTGTAAGTATAAAATTTTTCGAGTGCTTACTTTAAAAAGGGATATTTAAAAACGACGTAGGACAAGTACACATTAAATATGCGTATCATATCTCAAATAGTTCCAGCTGCGAAGAACTGCAGGTTCAGCTTCTATTTTTCCATTTATAGACCCACCTCATGTGAAATTTATTGAATTTTTATTGTAGAGCTGAAGGGAAAGACTGTGATATGTACATAAAAGAAATAAAACGGAAATTGAAGAAGGTGTAGATATTAATGACTCGCCAATCTATTAATCACATTCAACATTCAGCAAGAGTCCTGCTTGCCTTAGCTCAGCTTTTATTGTATAAAATGTAGGTAAAATTGAAATTTCCGTGTAAATATATACCGTGCACATAATTTAGTTTGCAGGTATTGTAAATGTTTTCGTTTTGTCATTTTTAAATTGAAGAAATGGGAACTTCTTTAGAAATAAAATAAATGTGCCTGTGGGCGTGGTAGCGCGTTGAATTTTACCATTTTCCACATTTCTGTATTCCTAAGTGCCCAGTAGCGCATATACGAAATTTCAGCGAATTTCTATTACGGTTATCTACTACTTTTAGAGCGCGGTTACCCACGAACATGTACGCAGCGTAGCGTAGAAGTACGTAGAAACATATCAAGTTTGCTGTCGATAGAAAGAGAGAGATGCAACGTCTATCTCACGGGCATGCGGTGGTGAGTTTTTGTTAACACGCAGATGCCATAAGATAGATCGTGTCAGCTGACACGTTCTACGTTTTTACGTCCGTGGGTAACTGCGGTTTTAGCTGTAACTTATATTGGGACGTCCCACTGTGCGCCGCCGGTTAGAAAAAGAAGATGGTTGAGGTTGCTTTTTTTTTCTTTTTTTCTAGAACAAGAAGTTTTAATGTTTGTGGAAAAAAAATTTCCGAGTAAAATCTGGTAAAGTGTCAAACCATCAGCTGTTCAAACGATTTGAAAGTTTAATAAGCAAAAACAAAAGAACATCTGCATTTACCACCATATTAAATATATCCTGGCGAAGTAATATCAAGTTTTGTAAGTATTTTTGTTAATTTGAAAACAATAAATGGCGCCCACGGTGTATTTAACAGTTTTACCAATTTTTACCCGAAAAGCATTCCCGTACTTTTTGGTTTTTCTCTCTTTCTCTGAGAGCAATTTTTGCTTTTGACAGTTTTACAGGTTTTATCCACGATGTAGAGAACAAAAGTGGCGCCCATCTCGGTACCGCTATTCCGCTCTCAATGAATTTGACAGAATCGTTGTTTGTATAACGTCCCAATTGTGCAGCTTGTTTATGTTTTCCTTGCAGCATTTTTTCTTCTTGCTCACGTTTTGGCATTTCTCTCTCGCAATTGCACCAGTGTGACGTCACACAAATGTTGTTCTGAAAATTCCTCTCTTATGGGCGCAATCTTGTATTCTATCATTCTTGGGTTTTATCCAGAAAAGTTGAGGAACGAAGCTACTGCTTTGTGTCCTTTGTACATTGGTGTGTATTTGAAATGTAACGACTTAAAATTCAACAAGAGTGAGCATCGCCAGAATAGTATTTGTTTTACATATTTGTGCTTTACTTTTTCTCAATTCGTTATGGCTTTATTTTCGCCAACTTTGGCAACTATATATTTTTGCAAATTGGCGATAATTTGGCTTCAATGCTAATCCTCCGAATTGTCCTGAAAATGGAATAAGGGGTATTGCAAGATAAAACGAAATGATGTGCAGCGTCTAATGACAGAAGTTAATTTATAACTTCGAGCTTTCGCATATTCCATAACCATACAAAATAATATATTAACACTTCATCTCATAGTTATACTCTCATTGTTATTGGTCAATAAATATGGACTTTGTGCCAATTTTTTATCTACTGTCCAAAAATTGTACATTGCACTCATTGTTTCATCTTTTTTTGATATTTTCCTAAGCTAGTACAAGTTATACGGTACCTTAAAGCCCAGCTTAAGGGAAGACCCGAAATAGTTTTAAAATTATATCCTAGTTTATTTAATAAGGATGAAGGGATAACATGATCATATTTGATTCCATTAAATGAATGTTTGGCGCTATAACGTTTTCAACGTGTTTGGCCGAGCTTCTCCTCAAATTCGTGTTCTGCTTCTTGATGTTGTGAAACAAATGGACAGATCTAGGCTTTTACTCCGCCTCCGAAGAAGCTTTTTATAGCAGAAGTACACTCGAAGGTTCTCCATTTCCTGCCAAGAGGCGACCACTATTTGAAAAAAAAACTTTATGCTACAGGGACCAGAAATTGAATCATGGACCTCCCGAGTGGCAGTACTCGGTATACGATAAGTACTCGGCTACGCTGGCAAGAGCTCTACTATAAACCGAAAAAAGTCCGAAAAAGTGCAATAAATTATTTGAAACAAGTTAAAGTAAGGCCAAACATAAATTTTTCACTGAATTTTATTTGTTTTACTTTTGATCTAAAAAAGACTTTGTACTCATTTGACCTTTCTCTTTTCTAAATAAAAGCTATATTTTCTGTAAACAGTTTTATTGTAATTTTTGGTCATGACCTCACACCAGCATAAGTATTTTTACTATATAAAAACTATGTAAAACAAAACCAGTTTATCCGGTTTTTTTCTTTATTTTCAAATCGGAAACTGTTTTATTTTCAAATCGCAATTTTTCGAATAACTCGAAACCCGGTTATGGAAAAAGGCGAATAATGGAACACCCTAGTATGTACAATAGGGTGGTCCTGAAAATGCATGTGAAAAAGTAAAGTGGGAATTTTTATGCCACTAGGATTGTTCTATACCGAAAAATTATACCCCTTCTTTATTTTGAAATCAAAATATATTTAGAGGACTTTACTTGTTTTGGA